TTCATTTGTCATCTGGTTTGCCACTCACGAAAGTAAATCATTGTAAGTGTTGACCAGAATGTGAAGCCACTTCAGCACACATTACTGTGCACCTCACCAGCAGGTTTCAGGCTTTTTTTCCCATTGTGCTGCTTTGCACTCTGTCACAGACTTCACAAGAGTCCTCTCAGTGCAAATGATATTTTCAGCCCTCATTCCCACCCCTGATTGCAGGCTCTGAAATCTTAAAGAGCTGTGTAAACTCAAAGGATTAAGAGAGAATTTGAGCCTGGGTTGAGCAAACATGCAGCGATAACTGGCCAGTAGGAAGCTGGGGATGAGAGTTTAAGCCAAGATCCTCTAGGGCTGATTGTTCTCTCCTGATCAAACAGCGCGTGGAGGCGACTACGCAAAAATCTGCTGGTGCCGTATTTTCTGCTTTCGTGATTTAATTGTGACAAGGATACACTAAATGAAAGCACATATGCTCAGGCAGTCTGTGTTTAGACTTACACAGGGGGAAGTGGAGTATGCCCCAAGCACTGCTCTCAGGATTGCAAAGGGCAAAAATACCAGATCAAATGTTACCCCTTTCCCCAGTTGCTGCCACCAAATTTCAGTCCCCCTCTAGACCTGCCCTCTATCTTGTCCCTTAGCCATGCCCGAGCCAGGCAGGCACGCCTCGCTGCAGGCCAAGTGGAGCAAGAGATGTGATCACAAACATGAGGCCTGTGTGTGAGTATTACTCTGCTGCATCATTTACAAATGCAGCTCAAACCCTTATGCAGACAGACAGCCCGTGGCCCAAAAGATGGGCAGAAAGGCTCCAAGCAGCAAAAGGTATATTGTTGCTGTGTACGGAGGTGTGATTTGCTGAGTGTGTGTGAATGCACCAGCTAGTTTGGGCAGTAATAGACATACATACCTGGCTGTGCAGATTCCAGCAGCAGTCACACAAACCTGCTGTGGATCTTGGGTCTGCACTTGACTTGCTGGTCCATGCTGAAGTCTGTGCCCCTGCATCTTCATGACTATTACCCAGTAGATTAAATCCAACAGATCCTTATAGGCTTGTCCCTGCTGCAGTCGCATCTTCAACTATAGCCTGGATTGATGTCTTCATAGCCCAACCCAGGCATGGGCAGCCTGATGCAGGCTCTGTTCCCTACCCAGCTGCAGCTGAAAGGGGCCGATTACCTCCCTCAGCTGTGACCAGGCAGCCAATTAGAAACAGCTGTGGAAACAGACTGCAGCCCAGGCAGAAGGGAGGCTGCAGACTGCTCCAGGGGAGAGGTGCAGGTTGATAGGAGCTGTGGAAAAAAAGAGAGACACTGCCGTGCAGAGAAGCAGCGGCAGGAGATGGAGAGAAATGGTTTTTTGCCATTTAATTCAGAGTCCCTGGCTTGGGACCCAGAGAAGTGGGTTGGGCTGACTCCTCTCTGGAGATGGGGACGCATTCCCTCTGGAGGAGCAGTCACCCAGGAGCCCTGACGCCTGCTTAAGTAAGGCTAAGTCTACCCCCAGCATAATGCCAGACAGCTGGATACTGCAGTGCCACACCTGATCTGCTGTACGTTGCTCCCCGAACTGGAAGTGGAGTAGCATTTCTGTATGTTGTGGCCATGCTGCGACAGTATAGAGGTATCTTAAGGCTAAGTACAGATAGTCAAAAAACCCCAGGCTGAATTGATTCAACCTTTGTAGGTTAGTCTGAGCTGCGTAGATTGAACTGATAACCCAGTGAACAGACATTGACTTTTCATTTGGGAAATGCAGCCCCATGCTTGCAGGGGCCCAGGCCAGAGACCGTGGGGCGCTAGAGCACACCTCCCTGTTCAGCTGGAGCAGACACCAGGGCCAGCCAACCCTCCCTGCGAGAGGGGGTTTGTTGGAGAGGTGCAGAGCATCTTGGGATGCTGGGGGACTGTAAATTGACTTAAATCTGGAGGGGATCTGGGACAGAAGTTTAAGAAATTGATTTAACCTAAATCAGTTAAGTCTGATACTACATCCCTCCAGGTTTATCTTAAACCAGTTTTGGTCATTTTGAAAGTTCTTTGTGTTCACTGAACTCCTGTTGTGTTACAGATTTGAATTGGTTTCTGATCACTTATACCGGCTCACGCGTAATTTCTGTCCCTAGCCTAAGAGGCTTGGTGTCAGAGAAAGGTCAAAGTGACAACATCAGGTGCACACGTTCTTGCTTGACTAAAAGATCAGTGCTTTTGCATCTTCTCATACAGCAGGTTTCCCTGTGGATTGTTAACCCTTGTGCGATGCTTAGAGTTGGGAGATTCTTCCTGCAGGGGAAGGCCATACAATTATGTAGTAGGGGAGAAAAGACTTGGCTCCATTTGGGGCTGGTAATTTGGAGATGGAGAAGGGAATGTGAGTGAAGGCAGGGGTTGCAGACTAGACGTTTCCCTGTAGGTACCAGGCGCACACCCCAGCCCCTGACTACAAAGCCCAGCTGCTCCTCTCTTGTGATCTGAGATCCACATCATTTTTTTTGTGTCACTATTTCTTCCCAGGGCTACGTATAAATATCCTTGAGAAAGAGAGGGGTCCTGCTAGGATGTGGGACTGAGATATATTTAGTTCCTGCCTAGCAATTGCCACAGGCTTGCCTTGAGACTCTGAGCAAGCAACTCCACCTGTCTGGGGCTCAGTTTCTGTACGTGTGGAATACAGATGATAGCCTAAATCACAGGGTGTGGAGTCTTAATTCATTAACGTTTGTGAAGTGCTTTGAGACTCTTGGGCAGAAGGGGCACTACAAGCAAATGTATTTCCTTGGCGATGATCCAGCTGCGACTGCATTCCCTGAATTAATTTCAGTGCCAGTTCTGAGATGAAACAAACCTCAAATCTCCAAACAAAACTGGGAAGAAAGCTGAATTTCCAAGCAAGAGATATTGCATGATTTTGTAGTAGAACTGTTACATGGCACCAGCTTGAGCATGTGGGAAAGATTTGAGAACCCTATAGGAATTTGCAGTAAATATGCTAGTGAGATTAAAAGGGAAATTTTCCAAAGGCACTTATTGCAGTTAAGGGCCTCACTCCCATTTAAAGCTAGGACCATTAGTGACTTGAAAATACCCTTGTAAATGCACACTAAAAGCTGGAACCAGACAAGTTTTCAATGGCTTTTGTTTCTAATATTTTGCTGAGCCTCAGTTAATTAACAGGGCAATGTAATTTCCATGGCACTAGTTTCTAATTCATTGTCAGTGCTATGAATGTTGATTTCTCTCTCTGCAACATCCCAGCGAGGAGGAGGATGTGACCTTCTTTAAGAGGCTCTCCAACCACTCTAACTGTGCTTCAGGGTTACCATCAAACTCCACTCCCCCCCGCCATACACACAAACTAGATTCATTTCTTAGTTTTTTTTCATTTACAGACAATAATGCCATACAACCATTTTCTGGGAAATATCTCACTATTTACAGATACAGCAGGCTGGTCCATTTTCTTCTACACTTCCAGGAGACATTGCTAATTTTTGACAGCTTGCTCTTTAGTCGTGAGATGATGTATGCATCTTAGAGACACTGCCAGCTGTTAAGACAATCCTTTCTTAAACTATGCTCTAACCTGGCTGTGTGTAATGAATGTCTTCAGATTTAGCTAAGGATTGAAAATTAGTTTTGTTTTGTTTTTTTTTGTCATCCTGAACCAGATTCAAGCTCAGGTGTTTTATATGCTTCTCTAGAATGTCAGGGCATCACCTAGCTGCAAAAGAAAAGCACACGTAAAGCAGGGAGTGATTTTGAAATGGAAACAGGTGTTGCATACTTAGGAGGCCAATCTGTTAATTAAAAGAGAAAAAAAATAGTGTGGAGTCAGCAGGGCTTTTTGTCCTAATTCCCAACTCTTTCTTTGCTGTAGTACCTTGGGTTTCAAGAGCGCAGCTAGCTGATGCAACTCTTGCTACAGTGAAGGTGTGTGTATGTCAAAATGAATGGGGTTCTCTTGTGAATGCCATTCACACAGAGCATGAATATTGATGTTGTGATTGTGAATGAGTCAGAAGGAATGGCCTGAGCATTTTTAAAAAGGAGAGAAAAAGTTTATCTGGTTGAAGCTGACAAGTTTTGGCAAGATTAGCATCAGTTTTAATGCATCTCCTAATCTGATTCAGTTAGCTCACATGAAAAATTAATAGGGATGTAGAGACCGAAAAGAGTTTAGTCTTGACACTTGGGCAGTTGTACAAAAGGCATGGCAGCCCACTAGCTGGAATTAGATTGCCTCAACAACAAGGTATTTTTGTATATTATTTTTTGCCTTACAGTTTTCCATATATGTTTCACATAATTTTCTCCAGCATTTAATTTTATCCCATTTTCAGGTGCCTTGGATAGTACTATAACCTTTTATCTGGCATCAGTATTTTTCAGTCAATTTTTTTATTACTAACTATGCTAGTATCTGGAATGTCTGTGCTTTGAACTTATTAATTTTGATTCTGATTTCAGGAAGACAGTTATACAAGTGCCTTAATGTTTATTGCTTGTTCAAATCCCGCTGATTTAAACATACCTCTTCAGGACAGGGCCTAAGGCAATAGCTAAGTGCTTTCGTAAGTCAGGGCCTGTGCGCCCAAATCCAAGCTGGAGGTTAATAACAAGCCTTAAAGAATTTGCTTCAGGGATGCAGATACGTTTGGGTGCTTATGAATCATGGCTTCTGAATTATTCAGTGGTGAACCTGTTGTCAGAATGAGTTCCGTCATCCCCCTAAATTAACCAGCCATATAGCCTGAAGAACGCTTATCCTAATCTAATGTAAATTTACTATTTATATTGCCTAAATTATTCATTTTAACTTCTGCCTTAAAAGAAAGCACCGTGTGTGCATTTTTATTATTATTATTTAACATGTATATTGCAATAGTGCCTGGAGGAAGGTTAAAGCTCCACTGTGCTAGGATCTTGGATAATGCTAGAGACCGAAAATGAGAGTCCTTGCCCCAAAAAACCTAAAGGTTTTACTCTGTTCTTCCCTGTCCACAGAAGGACATGTCATTAAAGCCTCAGGAGCGAAAGGAGAAATGGGAGCGGCATCCAGGAAAGAAACCTCGGGAATCCGAAAACTGCGTGTCTGCTGAGCCAAGTGAAAATGGTCACAACAACGATGCCGGGAGCTCAGAGAGAGAGACAGAACGAGGCAAAGAGAGGGTGAAGAAGAAACTTCCCTTGAAGATATCCAAACAGGTAAGAGAGAGGCTTCTACTTCGAAGTGGCTGCATCTTCATATCGGACACTAAAACATTGCCTTTTCTGCTGGGTTGGAACAGCTAAAATCTGTTAAAGATGTTGTGGCAAAATGTACTGTGGACTGTTAGGTCCTCTATGTGACTTCTAGTCAAATGGGCAGCCTGGAGTGCTGGGATGTTTGCTTAAAATTGAAAGCAAAAGCAAAGTCAGGAGGGAGGCAAACTTTCTGCTTAAGAAGAGCAAAACCACTTTTCAGTTCTGCGTTTTCAACAGGGTGCAGTGAGTCCTACTGTGTAGCATGTGCTATATAGATACACTGGGCACCAGTGAAAATCACTGAGCCAAGTAGCAGCCAGGAAAATAGTTGTTAAGGTGTAGCTGGTGGTTTGCAAACAAGATACCAATATTCATCTCCCAGATCAAGATCCTTTGCACCCTGACAAACAGAATCAGGTTTAGGGGAGCATTTGAGTATTTTCAGACAAAGAACTGGGATGGGGGAAGGGTTGAAACTTTCCTTCCTGTGGCTAATATCATTCCCTTGTGCTAGCAAAGCTTTGTAAAGCATCAATAAGCACTGGTAGTGGAGGTCTAGCTGTCATAGCCGAAGTGCTACAAGCATGAAGGCAACAGCCCCAAAAGCTCTTGTCTGAACCAGTGTGTTTGTTCAGAGTGAAAGAGGTGAAGAGGAACAGGCATTAGGGGCTGGCAGGCTATTTATCACATCCTCCTACTCAGCAGGGAGGTTTGTTGGGGAGTTGGTGCTCATTCATCAGCTTGAAATCCACATGGCACTGTAGTGCATGTATCTACAAGCGTACACCTCCCCAAGTGGTTGTTACGTGTTGCCAAATGGAAATCACTGCGACGACGGGCTTACTTGCTTCTCTGCTGCACTTGTTCCTTCCAAGCTCAGAAATAGATGAGCAACGAAACAGGATTTGCAAATGCTGCCTCATACAATGGTGGAAGGAGACTCGTCAAATTAGAAGGATGCAGGACTCCTCTGTTACTGGAGTCTGCTCGCCATTATCTAAGATGCTACAAGAAGGGAGGCTAGTGACCCAATTAATATCACTCATTCCTCAGAGTTTATAATGAATTAGTGCCCTGCAGTGGTGTCGTAGAGCAGTGTGTTGATGGAATTGCCATCTTTTATATGAACTGTAAAACCAGGGTCTTTAAGCACTTGTGGTCACTGAGGGATTTCACAGGCAGACGAGGTTCTTTGGGCAGATGTGATATGTTTTATTAGACCAACTAAATAGTTGGAAAAATTGTTCTTTGCAAACTTCTGGGCACAAACACCCTTCTTCAGGCATAGAGAGTGAGTCTATGTTGCAGTAGTGTTTGGGGGAAAGTTAAATCTCCACTGTACTATGCCTAAAGAAGGGTGTTGGTGCCTGAAAGCTTGTAAAGAACAATTTTTCCAACTATTTAATTGGTCTAACAAAAGGTATCACATCTGCCCAAAAAACCTTGTTTGCCTATGTCTTTAGAGCAACATGGCTACAACCAACAACCCTAAGGCTAAGTACAGACATTCAAAAAGCCTGAGCCTGAATTGATTCAATCTTTGTAGGTTAATCTAAACTGCATAGATTGAACCGATTTGCAAGTGAATCAACTTTTCACTTTTGATTCCGGAAATGCAGCCTCATGCCTGCAGTGGGTCAGGCCAGAAGCTGGGGGACGCTAGAGTAAGCTCTCCTTTCCCTGTGGCAGCAACCGCAAGGCTAGAGGGAACATGTGGAGGGAGGGGTGGGAAACGACATATGGCCAGGCCCTGGCAGGACTAAATATTACTGGGGAGGGATTTAAACCCTCACCCTGACCTGCAGGGACCGCAGCCAGGGTATGCCTGGAGGGGGAGGGGGGAAGCAGGCTCTTGCCAGCTTTGTCCCCGAGGTGGGGGCATGGGCAGGGCAGCACCTCAGGCAAAGGGGGGCAGGAAGGGGGAATTACACTTCCCTGTCTCCCCTGTCCTCCACGGGCACAGGAACCCAGCTGTGGTCTGCCCAGCTTTTTGCCCCTCTGGCTGCTCAGAGCATAGCCCCACCGTCTACCTGCCGGGGCTGGGGCTGGGGCTGGGGCTGGGGCTGAGCCAGGCCGGCCCACGGGAGCTGCTGAGGGCAGGTGTGGAGGGGCTCGCTCGGGGTGGGCCACAGAGGCAGGGCTCTTCCCAGCCAGCTGTGGTTTGAGCTGTGGCCACAGGAGCTGTGCACCCAGATTGCTCCTGGCTTCTCATGCCTAGGCCGGGTTGGGCTGTCATGGAGCCGCAGCCAGCTGGGAAGGGCCCTAACCCCATGGCCCAGGCTGGCCCCTCCATGCCTGCCTTCAGCTGCACCCACAGCTGGCCCAGGTCAGTCCTGGGCAAGGCAGGTGGATAGCAGAGCCGGCCCAGGCCAGAGGGGCAAGGCACAAAGGACTTGGCCTGCATGGCCGGTCTGTCTGCCAAGGATCCTGCCCACAGCTCCAGTGGCATCACCTCCACACCAGTCGTATTTCTTCATTTATTTGTTTGTATGGTGTCTACCTTCTTTTCTGAAGGTAGAAGTAACAAGTTTCTGTAGAGGGCAGGGAGGTTATACGAAGAGAATAAATCAAAATCTCCAATGTGTGACCCATTAAATCACAATTAGCCTTTTGGAGCAAGCCATGCTTAGGGTTCAGTGTATTCTAACTATGGTTCATGCTGGTATTTAACACAGTGGAGATAAATGCTTATTGCAGATACTCATCTACATTCTCCCTGGCTGTTAACTACTACAGACTCTATTAGGTGATCTGTGGTTTGCTCAGGTGTAAAAATAAAATAAAACTATTTCTCCATTAGCAAAAGCTTTTTTTAAAATTATTTATGCGCAATCATTTTTTCTTTTTTCCTTTAACATTACTTTCTTTTTTTGTGTAGTTTCTTACAACTATGAAATTCAGACCCAGAGCTAGGATTGTTCAAGGTTCTGGTTCAAGCCCATTCTAGAAATAATGGACTTAATGTTAACTTTTCCAGTTTGGGAGCAAGTTAGCATTATACCCCTGCCTAATTTGGACAATATTTGGTGATTAGTACTAATAGCCTAGAGAGAGAAGTTGTTTTGAAGTTTCTGCTGGTCTACTTGAAGCCTTTCTCTCTCATCCCTTCTTTCTGCAGTGCTACAGAATAGTCTTCTTTTCTGTGCAGCCTCCTCTCATAAATCAAATTGGGCATTATAATTATGGCACTCTTCTAATCCTTTTAGAGAGGTACAAAGTGGTAAGCTGATTTGAGTGCTAGGTTGTCTGCTTTCTTTAGGAAATTAGGTTAATACTTCACTCCTTTTGACAAAGAAAATGTCCAAATTCCTATTTGTCTATGGTTATTTGGTGGTTCCATCACCTCGGGGTAGAGGGTTGGGGAGAGCAGGGAGGAATAATCTACCTCTTCCAGCACACTGCTCCAGCCACGTAGGTAATGGTATAAAAGCCCTTACATGTTGCAGTAACCAAACAGGGTGAATGCAGGGTATTGTGGATTTTTTTTACGTAAAATAAGGGAAATCATCCAAAGACTTTACAGACTGTGGGTTTGTTCTATTTTTTTTTCTTCCCACAAGGGAAGAGTGTGTTGTTGCATTTGAGATGAGGATAATGCTGGCTTAAGACAGCTGTGTCAATGGCTGCTCTCTCAGTGGAGGCAATGAAGTCACACTGGAGTACCATGGGTATTTGGAGGAAGGAGGCATCATTTAAAGGTCAGACAATTTTAACATAGCCAGAATCCTTCGTGGTGGCACCCATCTTCTGGGTGCTGACAGCAGGTAGTGCTGCTCACCAAAGGAACGCTTTAATGAAGTTTTCATTGCACCAGTCTCTCACTCTAACCACGGCCACCTGCAGCCAACGCTGCCAGGAAGGGGAATCTCCATCGCAATGCAGAAATGGAAAGTCTTTCTAAAGCCATACAGCCCATCCATCTGACAGCATGGGCCCTTCCTCTGCAGGCTGTTGAAAAAATGGATTAGACAGAGCAAAAGGCGCGTGGTAGTCATCAAGGCTTCCATCATTCCTGTTGAGAAGTTGTTATTCTAGGAGATGAGATGGCACTTTCAGAAAGATCCCTCTTGCTTTAGGTGAAAATTGCACTTCTGTATTTTCTTCCTTTTCAGTGTAGCTCTTTCCACTGTATCCTGCCTGAATGACTTCTTCCTCCTTTGGCAGTTCCAGTGGTTGAGCTTTCTCTGTCATCTGCTTAAATTATACACATTTGGCTCTTTCTCTCTTTCTTTATCAACCCATCCCTCTACTTCTCTGACTTGCTTTCTGAGAGCCCTCCAGTTTGTTCATTTCTGGTAGAGGTGCACAACTGAACATTGTTAATCCAGATGCTGTTGAGCCAGACGAACATTTCTCTCCAGCTTTCATGACCTAGTGGCACCGGTATGCAGCCTGGAATTGTGCTGATCTTTTGTGCGACTGCATCATACTGGAAAAAACAAAGCCCAGAGAGTTGATGCTGCTAAAAGCTGTCTAGCCACAGGAACAGGGGCCAGTCAAGTTGGGACCATCATACTGTGCCGACTATGTTTACAGTCCACTTAAATGTTTCTTTAATGACAAAATTACAGCACCAGACTGCAAGTAGTCATTCATCATAAAGATTACTGTTTTACACCTCTTCCTTCCCTGCCATACCCACCATTCGAATTGCCTAACATTAGGCTGAGCCACAAATAAGTTGTTTAGAACAGAGAGGGTTTTCTTAAAACACTTTTATGTGCACTTTTCCTTAATGAATGTATACTGGATTGGACTAGCTGCCATCCAAAAATACATGCAGTATGGCATGAAAGTGCAAACTGCCTGTGATGCTTTACCAGTGTAACTTGAACTGTGACTTTGACATACCTTCCCCTTCCCCCACAAGAAAAGGTGGAGCTAATTTTTACGTCCTCGTCTGTCTGGTCTCTACAAAATGACTAAACATGATTGAAAATTAATACATTTTGTCAGAATGG